ATATATTATATATATATATACAGAACCGAGGTCACGTCGGATAAACAGATACCAAACATGTCAAACCATAAAATTGCGTTCGCCCGTGAAGCTGCAAAAAACTTCAATACCCAAAATTTCCCATAGGCGACGTTTTAAACGCTTTCACCGCTCATCAGTTTAGTAGTAACAGTGATTGATGGCCCTAGAATTATTGCTCTAATTCTGACGTTTGCGGCGATATGCAACGTGTAGTGCAATTGTCATTTTTGCACGTATGCGCACCGACGCGTGTGTATGTGCATGCACATGGGGGAAGGAGGACTAAGATTTTTATTTTTTTTGCATATTTTTCTTTTTCTTATATGTGACTTTAATTTAACATTTTTAAACACTTTTTTCATACACTAACCTTATTGCTATCACATAGGGGGCTAACAAGCCCCCTATGTAATAGCAGATAGGGTGTGACAGGTCCTCTTTGTGGAGACATCAGGGGTCTTCCAGACCCCTAATGTCACCTAGGGACCCCAAATAAGCTGAGGAAGCAGAAATCTGCTTCCCCAGCTTTTTCTCCTGGCTCCAAGAGCCAGAGAATGTAAATGGTGACTCCAGAAGTGATGTAATACAAAGCCGCTGAATCTCTCTCCAATCATTGCGGGGAGACCCGCCGAGCCGGTCCCAGGCACCACACAGGGACAGGAGAGCCCGGGGAAGCTGCCGATGGTGGCCCCGGCGGGGGTCAGCACCGTTTAGTACAAACAATCCGGTGGCTGTATAGACCCCAGATCGTTTGTACATTTACAGCCATTGCCTGCTGTTAAAAATGACACCAAGAACACGGCTGCTGCAGCAGCCATGTTTTTGTTTTAACCACTTCTGCAGGGTGCCGTATATATACATATTGCGGCCCGAAAGTGGTTAAAGGAGTTGAGAATGTCCACAGTAAATTTCAATTAAATTATGCAATCTGGCTGAATCTTTTCAATTGTTGGATACTTGAAGTCAATCTTCACATGATGAATTGTGTAAAAATGCAACTTCTTTAGTAAATCAGCCTCAAAGAATTGATATAATGCAGTATTATAAGAACAGCATGACTGACAGGTGGGGGGAGTTATGTATAGGGCAAAAAATTGGCGATGGCGAGTGGAAAACACTTATCCCAGGTTATAATGCAAATATTAACGTTGAATTCCAGAGTGACATACATATCAGAGAACAGTTCTGCACACAGCCATTCATGCGATTTAGACACCCCTTCCAGACAGCAAAGCCAACTCCTTAACCCCCCCACTGGACTAAGCTGCACGACCTGCTCAAAAAACACTGGTCAGGAACAGTCGCCAATTAAACAATAATGGTATCTTTTCCACCCCAACAATAAATCATGTAAAATAATTAAACAGTAAGAAAAAAAAAAAAAAGAAAAAAACATTGCATTCCATAACTACACATCCAAAACATCGGCACCAAAAGTATCTGTTCTTTGCAATAACTTCCCCCATTTTGAGAAATTATCTACAGTTTTGTTGCGGCTTGCAATACACGAACACAGAATAAAGAAACAAGCTTGAAAGAAAAAAAAATTAGACAAAGCATTCATAAGGCTTCATATAATTATATTCCATGTACTCATTTCTACCAAAAGGTTAGAGCACATTAGCGAAGGCTTGCAGGAGCTAAATTACAGAGTGATCCCATAATCAGACATGCAGTAAAGTAGTTTTTGAAAACGTTGACAGTAAATGATTTCCACTCTGGAGGTCAGGATTTATAAGCTAACGGCTCTTTGTAGCTCTTGCGGCAAATTGAGAAAGGAGCACAATAAGGCAGCGCAGCAGCTCAGTGAAAGAACATCTGCTTGTGTCTGGAACCCCGGGCCCAAATAACATGGTGCACTTTCAGACTGAGTCACAAATGAAAAAGGCTGCAATTTAAATAAAACATTAACATGCTAAAAACCTCCCACGCCTCGGTAACTGCATTATTTATCTGAAGATTGGAAAAACTTTTCCTAACAAAAGCTAAGAAAGCCCATGACTCACTTGAAATAAGAGCGTAGAGTAGAGTAGAGTAATTTTTATGCCACTCATGGCTGAAACAAAGTGAAAAGGTTTTTGACGACTTCTTCAGTCTAACATTTTCATATTAATACTCTTTTACGCGTTTTAAAATTATAGAATTTATAATATGTCATAATTCAAAAGCTGGTAGTGTTGGAGATTTTAGGTCCTTATTCACAAATGATCATGTGGATATCATTATTGGATACCCAAATGAGAACTATATCTGTTGTGTGTGTGAACTGTGCTCATTGCTGATAATACGACTTGAGGGCCCACTCACACTGGTCCAAAGCGTTAATCACACGGTTTCATTCAAATAAAGCACTGTACTACACAACGTACCTACCGTGCATTAACAGCGCGGGAATGCATTGAGATTCATTTGAATGGCACCCCAAACGCACCTCACACCTGCAATTTGGTTGTTCACAATGCATGGTACCGCAATACCATGCAATTAAAAAAAAGTAGTGCATGCACTTCACGTACTGTGACTTCAGTACTGCAGAGGAAGAGTGCACAGGAAGTTACAATCACACTGGAATGTTGGCAGGATCTAAAGATATCTGCCTGTACGTGCAGTGACAAAACATGGGGAAATGTGCTTGTACTGCAGAGATGTACTGATTTTTTTTATTTTGTCAAGACAAAAATGCAGAATAATCTGCAAATGTATATAATAATCTCTACAAATACAAAGTATTAGATGTACAATACAAATGGAACAGGAAACTTTGCACGCTTACCAAAGTGCTGTAGTGGAAATGTAACGAACAAACTCTGTAAAAGGCAAGGGATCGGATGATGCTCCGCAGCTCCTACAAACACACTAAGAAAGAACAAATGTATCAATAATGAATATTTATTTTTATGAGTATGTGTGTAATTGTAAGGTATAAAACAAGCTTCCTACCTGTTCATAAAGAGTCATTGCAAACTTCTGATGGGTTATGCAAGACTTTGAAGTGCACATGTCACCCTCACTATTTGGCACAATATGGAAATGAATTCTTTGTAGTATGTTTTCCTGAAAGTTACAATAAACATTACATAAATGGGCAGATTTAAAAATTAACAAAAACATTGGGAACGGTTTGATAATATTTCAACCTAGTGCTAGAGGTTTTAGTGTAGGGGTGTGATCTTCATATAGAGGAGTTATCTGAAATCTGACTGCAAATACACTTTCATTTTATTTTTCAGGCAGAACTAGGCCACACCCCCTGCTTCTCAGCAATCTAATACGAGAGCTTTTATTGGCCTCTGAGGACTCCAGTACTGAATTGATGCATGGCTAGGGCAGGGCTCGGATCAATCATGGGTGAAGCAAGACTGTGCTAAAGGTCAAAGAAGTCGAGGCCTTCTTTACGTAGATGGTGGACATGGAAACGGGGGATGCCATGGCAGATCAAAAATAGCTGAATGATTTTAAAAGAAAAACTCCAGGAAAATGCTCATTCAGTGGAAAAAAGGGAGAAGGAAGAAAAAGGAAGTTATTCCAAGCTCCGAGCTTCTTCTAACACTGGTCCTTCCAGCCTCTATAATCCTCCTCTGCAGTAGTCTAAGGTCCCATAAATCATAATTTCTATGCACAATGGTGGGAATTTATCAAAACTGGAGCAAACTAAATCTGGAGCAGCTGTGCATGGCAACCAATCAGCTTCTCTCTTCAGTTTGTTCAGTTAAGGTTTGAAAATGAAAGAGAGAAGCTGATTGGTTACTGTGCACAGCTGCTCCAGATTTTGTCTGCTCCGGTTTTGATAAATTTCCTTCAATGTACAGGAGGGGAGGACGCCGAGGAAGATTCCAGTGCTGCAGTTGAGGAGGAGATAGGCTGCAGGGAGTGCGGCGACAGCTGGCTGGGAGATTTGGGTGAATATATGTTATTTTTTATTATTTAGTTTTTTTTGCCTTCATGATTATAGTGAACATTAGTATGTGTGACAGATTAACCAAGTCCGAGAGCCCACTCAGTTATCTTATATCAAATCAAGTGCAGTGCAAGTTTAACATTCTACAAATATATTATAGACTAGACTCAAATATACTCCAATTTTTACAGGCTCTGTTGCCGTGGCAGAAATGTAATGAGAATAATGGCAGCTAAAAGGTATTTGGCTATCAGGACAGTCAGCAGAACAGTATATGAATGCTACACAACTACTCCCTGAAGTACATTGAAATAATCACCCATCCCTAACACAAGGGATAATATCTGCATAATACCCGCTTACTGCATAGAAGGTTAAACAAATATGGATCTCGTTTGGTGGGTTTGTTTGTGGTGTTTTCGTGTATGGTATTTAAAGACAAATTCCAAATGTGAACGGGTTACAAATACAACTTCAAGTTAGCTTGTTTCTTTCCACAAAATAAGAATTAGATTGAAAAACAGGGTCATCCAGCAAGCAGAATGTTTCCTATAGACAGCCCGTTACACAGTTTATTTGCTTTTTCTGACGCCTTTTTATTGTAGGGTACTCTAGAAATTGCAACGAAATGGAAAAAAAAAGGCCGAAATCGAAAATGTTTTTATCTAACTTTTTCCAAATTTTTTTTATAATTTATTTTCATTAAATGTTTTTGTTGTTAATTTTACTTTTAGGTGCTTTGGGGAAATATTAGGGATCTAAACAGACTCACGATATTTCCCTTTTAAAATAGAAAAAGAGATTGGGGACACGGAGTCCTCAATCTCTTTTCCTCCAGCCCCTGTTACAAATTAACAGGAAGCCTCTATACGGAGTGTTCCTGTTCATTCATAACATGAGAACATTGTGGAGGGAATTTATCAAAACTGGAGCAGACAAAATTCGGAGCGGCTGTGCACGGCAACCAATCAGCTTCTCGCTCCCATTTTCAAATCTTAACTGAACAAACTGAAGAGAGAAGCTGCTCCAAATTTTGTCTGCTCCCGTTTTGATAAATTCCCCCCAGTGCGTTTACTATAACCACAAACATGAATGAACAGGAGGTGATGTAGATCTCTTCTCATTCATTCATATTTGAGGATACAGTAAATATACTCTGTCCTCAATTATGTACAAACACTCAGCAATCACAGTGTCTGTACTGCTCTCCTTCCTAACACGCGTGCTGTCTCCGCCCACACACCATTTTGCCGATCTCTGGCAGCAGGCTGAGTGGTGCGGGGAGGAGAGACGCCGGCCGCTCACAGCGCCCTCCTCCCGCAGCACTCGGCCGCCTGTGACAGTTTCTCTCCTCCCCCGCTGGGACACAGAGCAGCGGGGAGGAAAGAAAGCAGGGATGCACCGATATATCGGCAGAAAAGTGGCACTTTCGACAATTAGCCAAAAGTGCCATTTTCAGCGGCCAATATATCGGTGCATCCCTACTAGAAATTATGCACTCTGGCACTATGAACAGTGCTATGCATACCGAGTGTGGCCAAACAGCATTATGGGCAAATACAGTTTAACATACAAGGTAGCGAAATCACTACTAAAGAAAGAACGTTTCCCTATTTTCTCATATGCATCTGAATATATATTTGACAAATCAGCCATATGGATACAAAAAGCAAACAGTCAAAGAACTGCATTACGGAACACCAAAGGACAAGTAAATCCATGAGTGTCCTGGCAGCCACAATTATACTTTCACTGCTTGCAGATCATTGTTTGAGGATTAGTGTAAAAGCAAATGAATCATAATGTTATACTCACAAAACATTCAGCAGCATCATCCATGAGACCAAGCTGAAAACGGTGTTCATCTTTAAAGCTCTCTGCAAGCGCAAGCCTCATGGCATCTGATGGGAGCACTTTCTCACGACTTGTTTGGAACTGTGCAAATAATGACTGAAGGCAATACAAAAAAAACTGCATCACTGACAAGAGTTAACAGATACATTTACATTATTTTTCCATTTACCAAACACTGAAATAAACAACCGTTTTTTTTTTCATCTGTCAGGTACACGTTCCAAATAAAGTACCCAAGAAAATCTCCACCTATACTGTAACTGAAACACCAATTTTGGGTGTTCTGATCCTTTAAATGCAAACATAATAACCGCAGATGAAGAACCTTGATAATACTACATCTACTAAGAAACAGACTTTATGATACAGTAACTATTTCTTCAGGTTAGACCACAATATGATGATAGGTTGCCATGGGTAACTGCACAGAGTTCTCTGCATGTAAGCAACACAATAAGGTGTTACTGCTTTCTAGCAAAAGGACCGCATTCTGAGCAAAGTATGTCAGTTACCTTTAAAGCACAAAATATACAGGCTTCTCCTAAACAAACATGTCCAGTCAGTCCACGTAAACTGCGCCGAAATATATCCAACTGCCATAAAACCTGCAGAAAAAAAAAAAAGTTTTATGTTTGAGATTTGCACTAAAAGATCAATATAATGGGGAAGAGGGAGATTTATCAAAACTGGAGAAGACAAAATCTGGAGTAGTTGTCCATGGCAGCCAATCAGATTTTAGCTTCCATTTCATTTTCAAAGCCTAAATGAACAAACTGGAAAGAAAAACTGATTGATTACTGTGGCCAACTGCTCCAGATTTGATCAATTCCCCCCAATATGTCGGCAAGTCAGGTAAAACGTGATGGAGAAACATTTAAGAAGAAAGGTAATTTCATTTTCAAACAAACTTGTAAGTATAACAAATCATGCCGTATGCTTCAGCCTGGCAAGTCTGCAGTACACACCAACACTGGAATGTACAAATCCCAACAGGAAACTGCAAGTGGCAGCAGATCAACTGTCCTAAACACACACAGGGAGCAAACTATCAAAATCAAGAAGAAAAAAAAACAAGATTAAAGTGACACCAAACTCAAGAGTTGCACCTTAAAAATGTATTCAAGTACCCCAAGTATTAATATTAGTGTATCTTATTTGTGTCTCACTCAGCTGCAGATCTTGATGATGCCATCCCCATACATTCCACATCTGTAAGCATGTTCACACTGTGCAAAGCTGAAGAACCTTGACTGACTAAAGCTGGTCATACACCTATAAATTATCTGCAGATTTTCTATGGTCAGATGGAAAAAGAGCAACAGATTCCTCCATCTACGCTAAACTGTGTGGATGGAGGAATCTCCCACAGGGAAAAGCTTCAGTATCTTGCTAGTCGGCCCCGCTGCCTTTCAAAACACCTGCATCCAATCAGATTGCACTTTCCATCTGACCATAGGCTGATAGAAAAAAAAAAATGTATAAAAAATCTATAGGTGTATGGCCAGCTTGAGAGTGCTGACCCTCTGACTCTGATATAAAGGAAGATTCAGGGACTTGCTAGTTGTACTGTATATAAATGCATATCATGATTTTAATACATGGCTGCATTAAACTTTTGCTTTTGTTTTCTTCCAGGAGCTCAGTTTAAAACAAAGTTCTCAAACTGCCCAATAAACCATAAATGCAGAGGAGTCTGTAACAAAAGGTTTGATTAGGCAAACACATTCAAACACTTTCCACTTTAATCTCATAAAGGAAAAGTATTACAAAGTCAATTGAAGTTCAAAACCATTTCCTTCCTTGTCTGAAAGGTCCCTTGGCGCTTTTAATCAAGTCAGTTTCCATGCGGAAAAGAAACAATTTCTGTGCTAGATAACTTAATATCTTTTCAACATCTAACTTAATATGGCTTAAAATGTACAAGGAAAAAAAAACAACATAGCACTTTCCAAGCAACAAGCAGAGCGGACCTGACAGATGTACACTATAATCACTTTATTTTAAAAGCAGAGTTGTTTTTTTTTAATATGTCTTTGTCATTTTGTAATATATCATTAGCAGCATGAGCAAAGCTTATCAGAGAAAAAGACATCAGGAGAACTTTGATTCAACTGTGGCAGGTGCAGTATGAAAAAACAAAACTTTGCAGTTCCCCAATCTGTTTTACACTCTCACTGGTTTTTATAACTCTCTTCACGTGATACAAGTAAAGCAGCAGTTCAAAGGGTAATTCCAATTTCCCAACAAATGTGTGAAAGTGAAATTACCCCCACAAATCTGTCACCTCCCCCAAGAGTCTTAACATAGGGGGAACCCACACTCCCCCCCGTTAGTCACCTGACCACGCTGACCAATGACGATCACTACTTGCCAATTGCTTCTCATTGGTCAGCATTGTCAGGGGACTATGGGAGTGCAGGGAGGTGTATAGAGTACGAAACGTACACATGCTACTGCCGCTGGTGAGGGAACCCCAAAGGTATGACTACCGGGGGGGGTCAGAGGACAGATTTGAGATTTGTGGGGGTAATTTCAGTTACACACAATTATAATAACTGCTTATATTTTGCCTTCCCTGGTTCTCCTTTTCTCAATATGCTAATTAAATTTTTAACCCAAACCTGTCTTCATTACACACTTTATTTCATCAATGTCATCACTGGGTGTCCTATTCTCTATGCAATGCAGGTAGATTATGTCTGGTGGGAAGGGCTGGGAGAATGCTTTATATAGATTCCTGAAAACATCACAGCACCCTACCTCAGTAAGGCCTTATTCACATTGGACGTACACGTCCGTGCGGCATGTACGCCCGTAAACAGCCAATCCTGGGAGGGACAGGTGCTGCATGTGATTGCGCGCAGCAGCCTGTTCTTCCCTATGGGAGGGATGTGGCTGTACGATGTCATCCATGCCGGTATGGGTGTCCGCAGTTGGACGCAGATAGGATCCATCCTGTCTGTGTCCAAGTGCGGACACCCGTACCTGCACAGATGTGCAGTTCGGGTGTCCGTATGACACTGTACAGCTGCATCCTCCCATAGGGAAGAACAGGCTGCTGCGCGCAATCACACGCAGCACCTGTCCGACCCAGAAACGGCTGTTTATGGGCATGCACATCCAGTGTGAATGAGGCCTAATCTTCTCAGAGCCCTGATGCAAGCAGTGGGTTGGCTCTTTGGAGGAGGTATGCAAGTATCAAACTCCCTGATGGGTGGATGTCATTCTGGAGAAGTGAGTGTTCTTAAGAAGACTACCCAAGGTAATGCCCACGTACGATACTGAGCCTCCATAATTGAAAGAACTGAAATCCAATGAGTCAAAAAAAGGACGGCCAGGGATGGTATGGTTCGGGAGAAAATGGATAGATGATTCTGGATGTTCTCCAGCCAGGAAACGAGAAGGGTTCTCTCTGACTTGCTGCAGCTTTTAATGCACACCATGAGAAGCTAACAATGTACAGTAAAATCAGAGTAAGCTATTTCAGTCCAGGGGAGGAGCCTCTACAACCGTACAATACTGGAGATAAGGCTAGGGCTTGATCCAAATCACAAAATAAAAAATCCCCTAACTTCCCACACTGCTTTACACAATTAGTAAATCTCAATAAGGATATAGAAATGTAGCAGATATTTTGAAGCTAAGCAACACTCGTAAAATGTCTAGTGATTATTCACCAAGGGGCCAGTTATAAAGTAGCTGTATGGCCTTACCACGGCAATAAACACTGCCTAAAGCATACTTGTCATGAAAAACCGAAGGTCCATCCCACTGCTCCCCAAACACAAAAAGCTTTAAAAGCCATTGGTGAAGAAACTGCTCCCCCACATCCCACAGAAACAAAAACTACTCCAGCCCAGCTTGCAACAAAGTTTGGAAGGAAAGGCTGATATCACCATGTCTCAAGGCAGAGCCGGACCCACGAATTCCCAAGAATGCATTCTAGTCTGTTGCAACCAACTGCAGGAGCACATTCTTATGAGATGTTGAGCACCCGGCTCTGCCATCCTGTGATAAAAAACTGAGATGTGCTCTCGAAATATGGAGTTTTTGTTTTCCCTAACAGGGTGGTGCAGCACGGGACAGAGATGACTGAAAAACCCTGTGAATTAATTTTTGACTTTTCTAAGATTTAGGTTGGTTTTAATTCTTTCCTAATACATACATTAAAAGCAATTGTTCTAGATCTGTTTTTAATATACATACTATCTTTCTTTGAGAAAAAGATTTTTCACAGCACTATGGAGTTGTCTAAAGAGAGCAGAGGTTCTTCTTCCGGCTTACTCAGATTCAAAGCCCAATTCCAGCCACAAGAATTGTATTGCAGTTCATAAAGATGCAGATCGACTTTGCCGTCTACCCACCTTCCATCTACTCCCCATAAACCACCAGTATAAATGTGGGTGGAAGTCCAGCTCCCACTCTGGCTGTAGTGCTGCAGGTCTCATAGACCTCTCATCTCCATCCACCTTTCTTCTGGCCAAATCACAAAACAGAACCTGGGGCAATTTGCTTTGTGACTGGCCAGGAAGAGAGGGGGGCCGCATACATACAAATGATCTGCAGGGAGAAGATGGTAGGTGGCTTTACAATAAAGTCATGTTGCAAATTACTGAACGGCAATACGATTATGGTGCCTGGAGTTGGGCTCTAACCATTCGGAGGGAGGCAAAAAAATAAGATGAGCCACTACTGACCCTTTAAAAGTAGATGGCAGAGTTGTAGTAAGGGGGTCTAAAGACTTTGTCAGTGGGGTTTAACATTTTGGAATGGTGGAGACTTCTTTTGCCCTATAGCATTTGCCCTCAAGCTAGACTTCAGCAGCTGATCAGGCAAACTGCGTGTGGATCGATTGCCAAAATTCTATGATCTCTACCCATCAACTACACATTAAAAAAAAAAAAAAAAAATCTCTGCACATTTTGATATACAAGAATCCCAAATGGCAATATTTTTAAGCAGTAAATACAGAAGGAATATTTAGAAAACAAACATCTGATCACATATAAAGACATATACCTAATTCTATCTGCTTGAGTTTTGAGTGAAGTTGACGAATTAGCCTATGTACCTAACGCTGAACTATCTTCTGCAAAAAAATAAACCTTCCTTCTTGCAATTTTTCAAAGAATGGCTATAGTTCCATTTTAAAGCAGACCGTGTATTACAAGGCCCAGTTGTATCCTGAGGAACCTGCCCCATGCCTAAAATACTGCACCAAGAAAAACCCCAAAAAGTTAATTCTACTTAGCATTTTCCCAACCTCCCTATTGCAGGGGGTGACATCACCATCCTTTTGATGAAATCACAGGAACTCAGAATTCCCTGGGATCTCGCTGGAAGAATGGCTTCAGTGCTGCAGGTGTTATTAGTAAAAAGAAATGTCCACGCTAGAAGTGTATCAAGTGCAAATCAAAGA